AGTTTTGTGACTTCAAATCAGTTTTAATTAAATCAACAAATTGTCACTAAACAAAAGGGCGGAGGTGGCGGAGGTAGACGGAACCCTAGAAATCGACGAGCGAGGGGGAGGGAGTTAGGGGGGAAATGCCAAGCGTGGCTGTGAAATTATACAGTGTGTTCTTCAAATTCATGTTAAAGCATCGGTTGCAAAACCGAACCAATGCCGGCGGAAGTTCTTACGGCGTCACATCGCGGCCCGATGAGGAATCAATTGCAGCTCCAAATCCTGTTTTCACCGACGGCGTTGCCACCAAGGACCTACATATAGATCCCACCACCGCCGTTTCTATCCGAATCTTCCTTCCCGAGACTTGTCTCGGCTCGCCCGATTCCGATTTAAGGGCACAATCTAAATCTAGGGTTAAGCCTTCCACTAGATTACCTGATTCAGGATCTGATCCACGTCGAAACAGCTATGGTGCTGCTACCACTGATAATGTAACCGATACGCATTATAAAAATGGCCATAGTTTCAATCATAGGAGGAATAGCTATGGATGTAATGCGGATGATCTTGCTTTGAAATCTGAAAATGGGGTTTATAGAGGATATTCTCCAGCTAGTAAAAAGTGTAGAAAGTTGCCTGTGATGTTACAGTTTCACGGTGGGGGATTTGTGAGTGGGAGTAATGACTCGACTTCGAATGATTTTTTCTGTAGAAGAATCGCGAAGCTCTGTGATGTTATTGTAATAGCAGTTGGATACAGGCTAGCGCCTGAGGATCGGTACCCAGCAGCGTTTGAGGATGGGTTGAAGGTGCTACATTGGCTGGCGAAGCAGGCTAATTTGGCTGAATGCAGTAAGTCGTTGGGGAACAGACGTGGTGGAGGTGGGGATATGAAGAAATCTGATAGTCACGGGCACATAGCGGATGCCTTTGGAGCATCAATGGCGGAGCCTTGGTTGGCTGCTCATGGAGATCCGTCGAGGTTGGTTTTGGTCTTATTGTCTTATTCAATAGTTGTTGCCTTAGTTTTAGTTTTAGATGTGGATAATTACCCGTTTCAGTAATTGGTTGATCTGTCTTGAAGTGTGGGAGCACCTCATCGAAAAGCTTAAGCTATCAAAGATAACACATTTTGTTATTAAGTGAATTATATCTTCAACAATCTGAAATGTGGTCACAAGTGTAGTTGTGAAGAATGAAAAGTTAATATAGCAGAATCTGATTTTGAATAATGGAGTGGGAATCCATATTATTAGGTTAGGACGTTGAGATACTATCTGTCCAAAGTAGGTGCAGTGACTAGGAAGGGCCAAACAGTACTGCTAAAAAAAATAATACAAATGCTTAATTTTGGGTCTCATGACTAGTGGGATTTTTATGTGGTAAATTTCTTGCATTTTCTTATGATGTAATTTGGTTACAAGTTGAATTCCATAGATAGACAGGTGGAATGTGTCTTATAAATTGGTCATTTTTCCGATAGTCCTTAGGGAAATATCACGAGATACAATGCTAAATAGCTATATCCTTTCCTGGCAGGGAAAACACTTTATTAGAGGGTTTTCCATGTGCTAATTTTTCCTATGATCTTCTGATTGTGTTGGATACGACTGCCAAATTTAGTTTGTGAATAGAAGTATTTTTGATGTTGGTTTGGGTTTGTGTCTTTCAGACTTGTTTTGAATGCTTTGTGAACGTTTTTCGTTTTGTTGCATGATTTGATGATTTATTTAAAAATGTTGCCTGATTTTGTTATTTCTGAATCTATAACATTGATGAAATAAGCTTATTATGGTCTTATTCTTTGGTCATACGATCTTGAGTCCCAATATAAATGACCTATATTCTTTAGCTCATCCTAGAATGATAAATTTTGATTGAATTAAGCTAATATTGTATACTTTATTGAATTCGATGTAAAATCTTTTTGTGAAAGAACTTAGTATCCAATTTAAGATTTAATGAGTGGAGTACCCAGAAACTTATATAATCTAGATATAATCCCCTTTAGAATCCTTACACAATCCCTGTGGGGCAATTATATTACTCAACACCTTCTAGCACATGTAACTAGATCTTTTGGCTCACAGGTGGACTTGAAAGTAGAGTTTCTAATCTGAGAAATGGGCTTACCAAATGTTGGCTCTATTACTGTGTAATAAAGAATTTGAGCATCCAAATCCAAAGCCCAAAGCAATGGGTGGAGTAGTACAAGAACTTTCTAGACTGTTTTGAAAGCCCTTAAGCAACTCATGTGAGACAATTGTATAACTGAACACGTTCCAACTCTATTAATTGAAGGTTAAATATGTTCAATAGGATATCACAATTCACAGGTACTAAAACTAGAATTTGCCAATAATTAAGGGACCAGACTAGCAATATTCCATGCATTTTACTATTCTTATTACAACTTATTATAGTCTAACTGTATTGGAGAGTATCAGTTTGACCACTATAGTCTAAAGTAAGACACTATATGTGGATGGTATTTCTTGTGCTCCCAAACTTCTAGATTTATCTCTTCATGTTTGCAATCTTGCTATTTAAGGCAGATCTGCCTGCTCTTCCTCCTTTTTCTGTTTCTATTTTTAATAATGATGAGGCTAGTGTCTGTCCTTAAGCCTGCAAGTGGTCTAGTTAGAGAAACCCTGTTTTCCAATAAGATCAAATGACATAGCACCTTGGAGGGTAATGTAGCATGCCTAATGGGGTGCAAATGGAGCAGGAGTCTGCGAGGAGCCAAGAGCTAATTCTCTGGGGTGGGACGAGGCTATAAGTCACATGGTTATTAAGTTCCTTGTGTCACAGAATGAGGTGGGTACAGCTGGTAGATTTGCGTTTGCTTGATGAGTAACTTGTGCTGGACGTCTTGACATCTGTAGTTGAATGAAGTCGCTTTCTCATGTTCTGGTTCTCTATAGTTACCCTACACGCCTAAATACTACTTTCTTATGCTTTTACCATGACAGGCTAGATCTCCTACGCCTCCTTGTTTTTCTGCGATGTTAGATATAATTAATAACTTCCTTTTTTTAAAATTTTTTGTTTGTTTTTATATGTTCAACTAGGTGTGTTCTCCTTGGAGTGAGTTGTGGAGGAAATATAGCTGATTATGTAGCCCGGAAGGCAGTAGAAGCAGGTAAGCTTTTGGATCCAGTGAAGGTGGTGGCACAGGTCTTGATGTATCCTTTTTTCATTGGAAATGTTCCAACTCATTCCGAGATAAAGCTAGCAAATTCCTATTTCTATGACAAGGCTATGTGCATACTTGCCTGGAAATTATTTTTACCTGAAGGAGAGTTTGACTTGGATCACCCTGCTGCTAACCCACTAGTTCCTGGGAGAGGAGGACCTCCATTAAAGCGAATGCCCCCAACTTTAACAATTGTAGCAGAGCATGACTGGATGAGAGATCGGGCTATTGCTTATTCAGAAGAACTCCGGAAAGTAAATGTTGATGCTCCTGTTCTTGAGTACAAGGATGCTGTTCATGAGTTTGCTACTCTTGACATGCTTCTCAAGACCCCTCAGTCTCAGGCTTGTGCTGAGGACACTGCTATCTGGGTTAAGAAGTACATTTCACTTCGAGGTCATGAGTTTTCGTATTGAGTTGGACAGATGGTCTTGTATAGCAGCATCTTTGTGACAAATGATCCTTGCGGTTTGAGGTTCACCATATATGGCCTTTAAGTTTCATCGCACATTCTTTTTTCCTCTGGATGTTTCTTTTGTAAAATAGATGTCACTTGCCAGAAACTAGGGTTTAGCTGAGTTTTGAGCCACGAATTCCTTTTATTTGAGTTAAACATGTATGTTATCCTTGTAAACATTTTTCCTTGTATTAAAGGAAGAGATGTATTCTGCTTAGCATTACCTTTATATTGTATGGTTGGATTCCAGCAGTACTTCTCTTTAAAGAACTTTTGACAGTGTATTTACAAGTTCTTGATTAGTCTGTATTGTCAAGGAGATAATTCTGAAAGCAGGAGTTCAATTGGAGGTAATTTTTTTTTTTTTTTTTTTTTTTTTGGTAAGAGGGGAAACCCGCAGCCGTTACAACCTCTGCCTTTCGGGTGAGTACTTTGTGATAGCTTGCAAACCACACAGTGACACAGGGGATGTAAACTGCACTAGGCAAGCGTGCGACAAGCTCAACACAGAAGACATTGAGGGGTAATTCGATCCCGGGTCATCTATCCAAACCAACTGGGCAACCCCGAAAGATTATGTTATTTTCTTTTTAATCTTCGTATTTTAGGATATTTTTACGTTGTCTTTGACCTGTGGCCTTTAAGAGATTGTTTCCCAAAGCTTGAGTAGCTGGATTTGGTATAATATAACCTTTGTCAACGAGGTAAAACCATTATATGTAATAAAATAGAATTCAAATTGGAGCTCCCAATTTTCATTTAAACTATGAAGCTTGACATAGCATTCGTCTACTTAATTGGTTTCTGTTGGAGTGAACAACGGAGATCGATGATCCCGATGATGTCTTTATCAAATCGCCACATGCGTAACTCCTGGTTTTGAGTTATTTTCACTGTCATTGAATTTGATTTAACATTCCAACCAATTAACAAAAACTAAAGAAATGAATGTTTGCATTCATTGGGGGAAATAACGCACACTAACTACTCTTTTCTAAAAATATTTATATATTTTTTATTTATTTTTCGAGATTCAACCTAAATAAATTTGTACTAAAATTTGAAAATATGTTTTTTCGCCAATTTGATATGACTAATGGACACGGTACTTCTTAGTCTAAGCATCTTTTTAACCTAGAAAAATAAACTTATCCAGTGTAATTTAACTGCAAAAATTAGTAAAGTTATATTCAATAAATGAGAAGTGTCAAGCAAATCAAGTGAAGGAGTAATTAAGATAACATAAATAATATTCCAGGACAGGACGAAAATGGTAAAACATCACAAAATAATGATGTGAAATGCTCCAATATGCAAAAGAGCTAGTAGTACAAAAAATACCCGTAGTATCTGAAATTACAATCATTAAATTCTTTCCTTTTTAAACCCTTACCAATTAACTCCACTTCCTTTTCTACCCCCTTTCCATTTTATTTCTGGGTTTTAAAATCTTTTTCCCTCTCTCCCGATCTGGTTCTTGTTATGGCAAGATCCAATCGGATGAGCTGATTTTCCTGTACATGAAATAAATGGACATAAGGAAGTTCAAGTCAAGACTCCAGTAGTTTCATCCAGTTACAGTGAGACCAGTACACACGCCTTTCCTAAAATTGGATTTTATCCCCTTTTCTGGGAAGTAGAGTAAATAAAGCAGACTTTTCTATTACTTTACACTCATTCTGTACCCTGTGTGTTGATTCAGAATCAATGATTCTTGGTCGATCGAGTTTGTGAAGAGTCCAACGCTTGAAACTGTAGATCTCCAATCAGGTACCTCTTAGTACTTGTTTTGTTCTTTGCATAGTAGAAAGCTTCAATGCACATATCCTGTTTGTAAGTTGTTCTCAACGACTAAAACCCCCAAGAACTCAATTCAAACCATTTATTTTCTTGGGTGAAACATCTGTGTAATGGAGTAAGTTGTTATATCTTGTGCAATTTGAGAATGGATTTAAGTTATGTACCGTGTAAGGATTTTTACGCCATAGTGTAACTCAACCTGTTATAATAGCTATTGTCCATTTATTCTAGCTTACCAATCAATGCTATTAACTAGACTTACCTGTAATTAACTTTTAAGTGACCTGATTGAGTAAGTTTTTTTTATAATGTTAGCACATAGAGCTTAATCTCTCTAAGAATACTAAGTTTTCTGGTCAATGTGCTAATTTATTTGGTGGGATATTGAAGGATTAAGATGAAGTGGATGGGGGGCAGTGTGAGCCAAAGCATGGAAGGTTTTAGGGCGAAATTCAGAGTGGCTACGATGGTTCTACTTGCATTATGGATAGGTCTAGCTGGTCTTTATGGCATGATAAAGCCCATATCTAATGGTTGTACCATGACATACATGTATCCTACTTACATACCTATACCTACACCGGCAAATGTGTCGTCCACAAAGTACGGATTACATCTGTACCATGAAGGATGGAAAAGGATTGATTTCAACGATCATCTTAAGAAGCTTACTGGGGTTCCTGTTCTTTTTATCCCTGGCAATGGTGGTAGCTACAAACAGGCAAGTTTCTTATTTATGACCTCAAATGTTTCAAAACAGTATTTCCATCATATGCCTGTTTATTGTCTCAAATCTATACCTTGCTTGGACTTTTGGCTAAGATCAAGTGTAGTATCTATTCTTATTAGCTTTTTTTGTGTCAAATCTTCCATCTGGGAATGTTATTAGTACATTACCAATTCCATTTAGATCGAACGAGGTGTCATATGTGTGCATTAGTAATGACTCATGAAAGATGAGCAGATACAGAACATAAAATGTTGAAAGCACAGGAAAAGTCTTATATCCTTGGAACTGTTTTCTCATATGCTTCTGGCACTTTGAAAGCATAACACAAGTGACAAGTCAACTTTGATTCATGGATGCTAAAACTATATACTATAAAAAGTAATTCTACTTGTTTTAAAGACAACAAAAGTTATGTTGAAACGTTATATTCGTTTTCTCTGCAAATTGTGACTGCATCAAATTAAACCAGAAAAAAGTAGTAATTAATGAAGTCTAACTAAATGGTATATATATGTGTGAACCAATTGAACATTCTTGTTTCACATAAAAGTAAAAGATTATAATAGTGGAAATAGCTAACAAGTTATGGATCTTCCCTTTCTGTTGGGGGCTGACATCAATCAGTTGATACCAAGGCAAGCACCTAAAATGCTTATAAGCCAAAATCAGGGTGGCGTTTCAGCGTATAATCACTTTTGGTTTGACCAAGATTCTTATTATTTTATTCCTAATATTGTTTGTAATTTTGAATTACCTTTTTTGAAAGAAAATCCCTAACTTACTCTTCGTTCGTTTCCACCTTTCGTCCTTCTCTCTAATGTTCTTGCTGCGACAACTGCTGATATTGACTTATTCTAGAAAATCTGATGTGGAGGTTGCACCTGTGCTTTTTCACTAGAGTGCGCGCGCGCGTGTGTGGGGTGGTGGCGGCGGGTCCTGTGATTGAATATTAACTGCTTGTTATGTGAATGTATGTGGCATCATAAGATGAGTGCAAGACATGTCAATACATTAGTTGTTCTTGTTTTATTGGCTTTGCTCCTAATCCTTTTCAATTACTTTTACAGGTGAGATCTGTGGCTGCAGAATCTGATAGGGCTTATCAAGGAGGTCCTCTTGAACGTAGTTTTTACCAAGAAGTCTCTCAAAGTCTCGGAGAGGGAGTAGATTTTGATGTCACCAACACTCCTTTGCCCTATCAATATACATCCATGCTTGACTGGTTTGCCGTGGATCTTGAAGGTGAACATTCTGCAATGGATGGCCGAATTCTTGAAGAACACACAGATTATGTTGTATATGCCATTCACAGGGTATAGCTTTTCTTGCTCAAGTAGAATGTCTCTTTATTGGCATTAATCTGAGGGAATGCGTTGACAATCTTTATTGCGTGATTCCATAGTTTATCCAATGTAACACAGAGATGAATACAGGATGCTTTCCCGGAAAAGGGTGAAGATAAAAAATAAAAGTTGAATGTAAATACCAATTTGCTTAAGTTAATATGATTCACCTTTTCCTTTTTGTGCATTTTACTATGGTTTTCTTTCTGTAGGAAATAGACTGGATTATTTGATACTATGACAGTGACAATCTTAAAGAACTTTTTAAAGGATATCTGCAAGTCTGTGGGTTCTGATAGATTGATGATGCATGGTTAGATTTCCCATAGAACGAGAGAACTAGAATCTACGTGCTTATTCTTATCTTCTGGTTGCTTATCAACAATGTTAGTTTGATAGTTAAATAGTAGTAAATAACCCTAATCCCATATGTATTAGGAGTAGGACATGTATTATATATATAGGGCTCATTGTATCATTGTTAATAATTAATTAATAATATTTTCTCCCGTGCATTCTCACATTGTATCAGAGCGTCGGTGAGAAAATTATCGCCGTGCATCATTCCAGCGGCCTCGGGGAAGAAAGACCTTGTTGCCGTGCAATTTTCCGGCGACTTAAGAGGCTGTCTGTAACAAAAAGCCACTTTTCGTCAGTGTTGTGCAAACACCAACACCACCACGAAGTAGAATCGGACTCCGGCGATCAACCCATAAAAAATTCTCCGTCAAAAGACCCCCCACGCGCCGCCGGAAGAAATTTTCCGGCGAAGCTCCGACGCCCACGCGCCGGAGCGTGACAGTGTTTCCGGCCACTTTTTCGCGAAATTCCTTCAGGACAGCTTGCTCTCCTCACAATTCCGAGCCTACCCATCTAGTTCAAATCAAATTCCGACCACTTTGAGTTTTTTCCGGCGAGCTACAATGATTTTTCCGGCGTGAACAGTGATCCCCAACAAATTTCTGCTTTTTCCGGCACGATATTATAATGGAATTCGTATCGGAAGCCTTTAACTCACAATCCGTTGGATCCAATGCATTGAATCCCATCCAGATGGTTTCTTTACCGGAGTATATTGAGTTCCTTCTGTACAAAGCACGTAAACAGACATCTTCAGGATTAGCCTCCGTTGTTCCAACAAATAGTAGCATGACTTGTGTCTCGCAATCTTCACCTTCTGAGTCTTGGGTCATTGATTCAAGATTTCAGGTGCATCTGATCATATTTCTGGTAACAAATCTCTTTTCACTAGTATTTCATATTCTCAATCTCTTCCAACAGTCACAATGGCCAATGGGTCTCAAGCCATGGCAATTGCTATAGGTCAAGCAAGTCCACTTCCTTCCTTACCTTTAGACTCCGTTCTTTATGTTCCTAGTAGTCCTTTTAATCTTATAGCCGTTAGTCGCTTAGCCAAATCCCTTAAATCTGCTGTTTTATTTCTTGATGATCTTGTTTTTATATAGGAACGCAGTACAGGGCGGATCATTGGTACCGGACGTGAATCAGGTGGACTTTATTACCTTATCCTTGCAAAATCACATGGACTCGCATCTTGTCTTCCTCCAATAACTTGTCCCGTTACTTATTCACCAGATTTATTACATAAACGGTTAGGACATCCCAGTTTGTCAAAACTTCAGAAAATGATACCTGACTTATCTTACTTGTACACTCTAGAGTGTGAGTCATGTCAGCTCGGTAAGCATACCCGCTCCCATTTCCCGCGGCGTCTTGATAATCGAGCAGAGTCACCTTTTGCTTTAGTCCATTCAGATGTTTGGGGTCCTAGTCGGGTCAGTTCTACCTTGGGATTCCGCTACTTTGTCAGTTTCATTGGTGATTATTCCAGGTGCACTTGGATATTTTTGATGAAAAATCGATCTGAGTTGTTTTCTATTTTACAGACCTTTCACGCTGAAATTCAAAATCAATTTGGGGTTTCTATCCACACATTTCGTAGTGATAATGCCCTAGAGTATTTGTCTTCCCCATTTCAGCAATTTATGAACTCCCATGGGATTATTCATCAAATATTTTGTCCGTACACATCCTAACAAAATGGGGTAGCTGAAAGAAAGAATAGACATCTTATTGAAACTGCTCGTACCCTACTTATACAATCTCATGTTCCGCTGCGTTTTTGGGGGATACAGTTCTTACATCTTGTTATCTTATTAATCGTATGTCATCTTCAGCTATCCAAAATCAAGTTCCATTCTTTGTCCTGTTTCCCCATGTTAGCGGAAACGTAAAAGAAAGAACACAAGATTTAACGTGGTTCGGATCAAAATAATCCTACGTCCACCGGAGAACAATTGCCCTTTTAATATTAACAAAGGAAGGGGAGATTTCCCAATTACGCTTAAGAGAATTTCTCTCTTAACTCTCTACTCACTACAATGTATTGTATTATTTTGGGATGATTTCTACAAGTGAAGGAATACATCTATTTATAGAGATAAAGACCTTCTCTTGATGTCATTGGTGACATCAAACTACCTCCTCTTGATGTCATGGGTGAC